TGCCCTCATTGTGTCTTAGTCTGTGGTACTGCTGGGTAATGCATGGGCACCCAGATGCACCTGAACAGCAACAGCAACAAACTGGAATAACTAAGCTTCATTGTTGTCCAGTAGGCTCCAACGAGACAGGGACCCTCACGTTCCATTGATCATACACCACCAGTTTATTGATCACCTACAGAGAAACTGATGATTGGATCTATGGGTAACTGCTGCCAATGGGAGTCAGCAGTAGAAACAACTACCTGTACCTCCATTTCCATCTTCCAACTCCCCAGTATCCTTGGTGGAAGACCAGTGTCTTATCTGAAAGCATTAGAAACCTGCACCGGAATGTTAGTCTATCTTAATAAAGCAGAGACCTACTAAGACGTTTGGCACATGCCATTTTTCAGGCTAATTGGATCATTGCGGCTAAGGAAGTTCAAGAATAAGCTCCAGCAAGAAGATAGTCTGCATTATGATTCAGCTCTCAAAGGCTGAGACATAAATTCACAGATTCACTCAGGATCCTGTAATAATGAACTCAGGATAGATATGTGTTCCCCCTGACAATGTGCTTACTGCCGGTCATGAAAGTCCAGTGACTCTGGGACATTACTTCATTGTTTGACTTTATTGTTCTGAAACTATCAAGTTTTACTTTTTGTATCCTGAAAGGGAAAATGTGATCAATGAAAATCTTATACGCCAATGAACAAACAATGCTTATCACCATAACTTACAACCTGACAGGAACTCCCAATTCACAGCCTATGGGCACCTGACAAAACTTGCCTTTTTGAAAGAATTTCTATTAATGGAATCTACAGTGACAAGCTGAAGCCATGTTGTATTTAAAATATGTAATCACCATGATTTATAAGATGATGAGGCCTTAGGCACAAAATACAAACACAGAAACACATGATTTTGACAAAATCTACTTTTTCAGCTTTCAGACACTAAAAATAACTTGTTTACATTTCCCACTCTCCATTAGCATCACTTCCAAGTTCTGATTTTTGAAGTCAGTGCGCTACCATCAATGATGGCAACAGAAGAAACCCATGTTATTTCTGGGGGAAAAAACCTTGACTACTTAGATATCTTAAGACCACAATCACTAACACCGCAGGTCTATCCCAAGGAGACGGTTATGTACAGACATTAAAGTCATGGGATGTAAAACGGCCAAAGAGAACTAATTTCAGAATCATTTACCCACACCTGTACTTACTGAAAGCAACAAAACCAAGAGTGCATCTGTATTCTCAGCCCTCAAGCAGGAAGTTCTATTTAGTTCAATTTGAAAATAAATGATACTGTCAGTTAATTGCTACCTTTATACTTCCAGATTCAGGGCAAGCAACACCAGTTGTGGCCAGTTATTACAAAAGCACCAACTGCACAGGCCTTAAAATAAGAATATGTAGATGCTGTTGCTAAATTAAGGCCTGCTCTGTGCCAAGAGGTGGATCAGGATGGGTAGCAAGAGCAAATCACTCTGAGAAAGAATAATAAAGGTGGTTTAGAGAAGTGTAAACATTCAATTAAGTGCTGCAAACCCTTCTATTTGAATCCTTTTTAGATGGAGAATCCACTTTCCTTTTGGAGAAAAATCTGTCCCCTCTCCTCCACTGAGCTGACATGCCCTGTTCTGGCAGGTGCTAAGAGGGGCTCTGAAGATATCTGTTTCAGAGCAAGGAATACAACCACTCCAAAGTTCTGGAAGGGAAGAGACAGCGACAGACAGGCATCCCATACTTTCTTTCTGTATCATTTGTTTGCTACTCCATTTATTTGGAGCTCTCAGATACTGTAGTTAGGAAAGATCACATTGGACAGGATCCAAAATCTCTTACCCTAAACAGAATGCCTGCTCCCATTCTTCCTTCTCTCACCTTCAATTAAGGTAGCAACGGACAGGGTCAAGAGGACAAATGGATTGCACTCAAGTGTGAAGATGATTCCATCATAAGATGATGGCTTTGAAACCCCCCCATTCAGAGGCCCCATCTAATTTTGAATGTGATTTCCTTCCATTTATAATCTGTGGCCCAGATCTATAAGAGACCCTAAATAAATGTGTAGAACTTTTATCTTATTTATCCCTTATTAAAGTCCACATCCATATATATCTTCCTCGAAGTCCAGTGCCTACCCTTATAGAACAGCCAAAAGAACAATATTGCAATCTTTAATGACCCATTAAGGAACTTCAAGTTGGAAGTGTGGAGAATCATAACAAGGGCTTCATATTGTAACTTATGATTTCCTTCTAGTCAAATGTGACCATTAAGATTCTTCATATGATGGGGCCAAATGGATAGAACAGCCTGTAGGGTGTTTGCCTTGCACACAACTGGCCCGAGTTCAATCCCAGACATTTTACAGGGTACCCAGAACCCTTTTGGGAGTAACCCCAAGCTAAGCGTGGAGCCAGGAGTGACCCCATGCATTGTTGGGTGTGTCCCAAAATAAAACAAACAAAAACTCCAAGATTTTCCAGATGATGTCTAGACATCTCCAAAGACCTCTTTTTCTTATTCTCTCATCAAAACTGTATGGCAAATATTTCAATTATTTTTTATAGTCAATCTCCTTATAAAAAGGCTATGGAGACTTTTTCTCCGAGCGATAGCACAGTGGGTAGGGCACTTGCTTTGCATGCAGCCGGCGGGGCTGACCCAGGTTCGATTCTTCTGCCCCTCTTGTAGAGCCTGGCAAGCTACCGAGAGTATCTCGCCCACGCGGCAAAGCCTGTCAAGCTCCCGGTGATGTATTCAATATGCCAATCACAGTAACAAGTGTCACAATGGAGACGTTACTGGCCCCGTCAAGCAAATCGATGAACAACAGGAGGAAAGTGACAATTACATACATGTGTTATGAAATGTTAATATTTCTGATACACTGTATTATCTTGGCCTTTGAAAGACTTAAAACTATTGCTAAGTTTTTACCCCCTAATATCGAATTTCTTCCCTTGGGGGCAATTATCATCCCTCCTAGAATGCATGCTCTAAAACAGTGTTTTGCAAGCTTTTTCTGAACATGGCCACTTCTGATTTGTTTGCTTTCTGGCCCAGTGGAAAACTGGCTGGGCCCTAGTTTCATGCTATGCCCCCTGTGGAATATCCTGGGGGCACACAAGGGAGCCATAAGGTTCCCAGCTGAGAAAAGATGCTTCAGATTAAGAACTAAATGCTTTCTGAACATTTCCCACATGAACAATCCATTAACATTTTTTCCTCTGACTCTTAAGTTTTTTAATGGTTGTGAGGTGCAGTTTTAGGGCCATACCTCAGGAGTCCATGCAATGCTGGGGATCAAAGCTTGGCTGCTTCCCATTCAAAGAAAGTATTTTAACCCATGTCTATTTCTCTGAGCTTATAATAACACCTTTAACCTAACTACCTCTTCTCTCTTTCCCAGGCTTGCTTTTGAAAGTAAATAAAAGAAATTGAGGTAATTATTGAGCAATCGGAACTAATAAAAATTTGTGAGTGTGAGTGTGTGTACTATTAAGAGCAATTGCAAAACAGCCATAGCTGAAAATATGGAGAAATAAACTCGGGGTCATTTTCAAAACTTTGTACACATTGCAGTGAAATTACTCTTCTCCCTTAAACAAAAAATATTGTGAGCAACTTGAAACGTGGTTTTGGTCTGAATCCTGGGTACATGAAAAATGGCTGCATACTTTTCATTTTTTGTCCTTGACTTTCTGGAACAGCTACTCGGGGGCTAAGGATTACAAAAGCATGGCCATGGACTCTCGCAGATTATAAATGAGAGTTTACTCTGCCAAGTCAAGAGGACATAAAAAGGGCCAATGTGAACCGATGTAAAAACTTAATCGTAGTGGATGACCATGACAGAAACATTCACAGGTGAAGCCAAGCTGGGAAAGCTTGACCTTGGGCATACATTGGTCTTTTTTTGTTTTAAATTTGAGAAACACGTGTGCTTCAATACTCCATCTGAAGGGCCATCAGCATGCACTGCTCAAGTACTTCATAGAAAGCCGCCGTGCAAAAGCAGTTCTAGGACCAGAGGGGACCCTCGGTAACGAGGTGAGCCCTATTCTCTGTGCTCCGCGCCCACCCACCCCCATCCCTACACTTTGGCAGGTTCCCGCGTGCTCCGGGAAGCACCATCTCCTTGGCTTCAGAAAGAACGGAACAGAGATTTGTTTCTGTGTGTCCCAAAGTTCTGAAGCCATCGGCAGGGTCTGGGTGAGCCAGAGACCAAGACAGACGCTGGTGTGGCTCACCCGAGAGTCCAGTGTCACCCCAACTACCAGGGCCCGCAGGCTCGGGCAGGGCAGCGCGGGTGCGGACCGGCCGGGTCAGCTGTGCCAAGGACGCACACAACTGGGGGAGGGACGAGGAGTAAATCTCCCCGCTGCTGGGGCGCTTCTAAGTAAGGGAACTCAAGCAAAAGGCAGGGCCCGGGGACACAGGTGTCCTCCAGACCCCTGGTGAACAAGAGACCGCTGCAGAGCTCGGGGGTACGCCCCGCGGGATCCATCGAACCCAAGTCCCAAAAACGGCCCCGGGGGAGAAAGGGCGTAGAGACCGCCTGTCCCTCGGTCCCTGGACCTGCCATCTCCCCCGCGCTAGGGGACAGCGGTCCAGAGGGGCGACTCAACTTTCACACGCGTTCCGTCGTCCCCCGGGTGGCATCTCCACTCCCAAGGGCTCCGCGCGTGGCCGATGGGGGCATCCCTCCAACTTGACACCACTCGGGGATTTTGGTCCGAGCGCTCCGGAGGCCGGACCCGGAGTGTGCGCAGCGCCCAGGGTGCGAGGAGGGGGGTGGTCCCCGAACCCCGAGTCCCCCGCCCGCCACAGGCTGCAGCCAACCCAGAGGGCGCGGAGCTGTCGGGACCCTAGGCGAAACGCGCCCCCTGCACCCCGACTCCGCCACCCAAGGCCGTCAACCGGGTCCAGGGCAGAAACTTAGCGACTCGAGGGCCCCCGGGCCGCGGGTGCGCGGACAAGCGAGCGTCTCACCATGCCGCCGGAGGTTGGCGTGGCGCAAGGCTCGGAGGGATGCGCCCTGCGGGGAGGCCGACGTATCCCGAGCGCTGCAAAAGTTGGCGCACACCAGAGCGCACACGAGGACTAGCCGGTGCATTGGGGACCGCCGGCGGGGGACCGCGCCGCTGCGAGGAAGAGAAGTCGGATCCGCTCCCGGGACGCCGCCGCGCTGGCCCGCGTCTGCACAAGTGGCCGCGCGCGCCGCAAACTTCCTGCAGGCGCCGCTCGGCCGCGCGGGTGATGCGGACCCGCCGCCGCGCTTCCTGCCGCCGACGGGACAAACAACAGGTTGACGCCGCCCGGCGCGCTCCCACCCCCATCCCCCGCGCCCCCGCCCCCGGCGGCCCGCAGCTGCCGTGCGCACTGGCTGCAGGGGGCGGGCGGGCCCGGGCGGCCGCGCGCATTCGGCAGCGGTGCGCGCTCCAAGCCGGCCCCACGCGCGCCCCGGAGGTCCCGCGCGCGCTCCGCCCGCCCCGCGCGCTCCAAGCCGGCTCCGCGCGCCCCGGAGGCCCCGCACGCTCCAAGCTGGCCCCTGTGCGCTCCCTGCCCGCCCCGCGCGTGCCCCGGAGGCACCGCTCCCTCCAAGCTGGCCCCGCGCGCGCCGCGCCCGCTGCGACGCCGCAGCCAGTGTAGCCTGCCCAGATCTGCCCCGACGGCAGCCCCGGGCGCGCGCGCGCGACCCCCGGACGTGTCTCACGCCTGGTTAGATTCTCTTAACTCACCCGCGACCCCGACCAGGTCCCACGGAGCCTAGTGTCACCCGCCGACAAGGTGGAAAGCACCGTCCAGATTCTGATCTCAGGTGACTGTGAAGCCGAGAGTGGAGGCCGGGGACCCCAAAACACCCCGTGTCCTTGTCCTCTCGGCTTGGTCCAGCGCAGCCTGCAGCGACCACGCTTGGGGTCCGGCCCGCCGGTGGGACCCACTTGGCATCCGCGTGGCACCCGCGCCACTGTCACTCTGTCCTGCTCACCTGGGCCCTTCACTTGCTCTCTTAAACTTTAGTTTGGGGTTTGTTTGTTTGTTTGTTTTATCTCTAGGGGTTCATGGGCTGGGGGTCCCAAGCAGCTCTGGGGACCTGAGGCTCCTTTCTGGTTACCCGCAGTGTTCATTGGTGCCGCTGGGACCTCACGCTGACCCATGGACCGTGATGGGACCAGCAGGCCATACACGGAATTGCGAGGTCCACACGATAATGGGGACCTAACTCAGGGCCGTGCGCTGCTACCGGGTCCCTGCACCCGAGTCACCTTGGGTTTCTTCCTAAGGCTGCAGCTGTAGCTGTAGGGGGCAGTGCAGGGTGTAGTGGCTGGATCTGGAAGCACTTCACTTCTCCAGCTATCCCGGGGCCCTCGCTGACCGTTCCCAGCCTTAGGGAAACGGGTAAGAAGTAAGTGACGTCCATCTAAGAAGGGCATTGGACGCCAAGGCGGCACTGCGGGAGAGTGGACACTGGGTCGCCTCTGCCTCGCACACTCCGCCGTGTGAGTGATCAGTCCTGTTTCTTCCTATGCCCACCTGGGTTCACAACTGCCACCGCATATGGTGCCCGGACCCGTCAGGAGTGATCCCTGAGTACAGATCCAAGAGTGCGCCCTGAGCACCACAGGTGTGACCCCCGAACCAAAAACCAACAGAAAGAATTGTTTCAGGAGGGCTAGAAAGACAGTACTACAGATTTAATCCCAAGCAGTACATACGGTGGCCTGAGCACCTCCAGAAGTGACCCCTTAGCAGAGTAACCCCTGAGCACTGCCAGGTGGCCCCAAGAGCAAATTTTTAAAATTCTATACTTTGTTTCAAGTACACAAACATAAAAACGTATTTCTGTTCACGAAAGGTGCATGAACAAAAATGTTTTGAAAGAGTTGAGGGGGAAAAAGTTCTCTGATCACATTGTCTCAAAAGATAATCCCAGGGAGAGGCACAAAAGAAATATAAAATCTGGGTTTTCATTGAGGTAGTTATTCATTCAATGAATTGATAGGACACAAAAGGTATTTTGTTGTCTATAACTTTTTTTTTTTTAAATTAAAGAGCCCCAGAGGAAAAAGAATGAGACCGCCAGTTTCTGCAAGAGTTTCTCAGCAGTGATATGTTGATCACCAACCGTTCATGTCACCGTGTGGAGGACCAAGTGGGTCCCAGTCAGTGGCCTCTTCGGAAGATATCTCCATTCCCAGACATAGCCCCTGCCTTGGCACTCCACCCACAGATCACACAGACGCTGTACTCTCGCTCATAGCATCCTTGATTCTATCCTCCCACTGGGCAGATGAGTTTGATCATGTTGAGCTTTTATGGGACCATGACTCCTTCTTTGAAGATAGGGGTGTTAGAGTAGATTACCTTCAAACTTATTTCAGAAACCCGAATTTTTCTTTTTTAAACCGTCTTTACTCATAATTTTGTTTCTAATCAATTAATTCTTTGTAACTTTATTAAGTTCAATTGCACGTTGAATAATTGCTTTCAAGCCCTGTTACATAGCTCATATATCTCAAAGTATACATATGATAATATGTACTTTATGTGTGAGAATATAAAGTTTTCTACAAAAGTTAGCAAGCTGCTATTTTGAAGTTACGGTAACTAATGTATAATAAAAAGGATAGCAGAAAGGTTGATTTTTTGTCTGATATTAACAGTTATTTTTGTTTTAAAGGTTGTGATTTCTTTGAAAGAGATCAGTGGTTGATATGTATAAATATACTTTCTGGTAGATATAACTAAATAGATTATATACAATTGATTAAAATTATGACAAATTTAATAAAGAAGCCTAAAGTTCACTCTGATGCTATAAACAGAAAATTTATTTTGACTTATGATATGGATAAGTAAATAATACGATTTAGCTCAATTTATTTTTGAAATTGGAAAAAAGATAATCTTGAATATTCAGTTCCAGGGAATGGAATTAAATAGTTATAAGGTGACAAACTAGTAAATTTCTAAGTAGTTCTTAATTGTTTGGAAGGTCTAAAATATCAGAATGGTTACAGAATTTTCTATATCAAATATATACAAAATATATCATTTAGTTATATTGACTCATCAATAAGTAGCCCACCACTATTTAGCCCATCCATTAATATCTAAAACCAGGCTGTTGTTCTTTCCTATGTTAAGTGGCTTATTTGCCACTTGTATTATACTTAGTCTATTCTTAATAGTAAAACAAGTTTAGAAGGACCTTTTTTCTTTAAGTAAAGTATCTGAAGAGAATTTCATATCCTGTGTTTAAAAGGGAGGAAATGACTAAAATTGGGCCACCTCCAAGGGCTGAAAGCTACTGATGCCATTTTCTGGGTCCTAAGTTAAACAAAATCATAGTTCATGGTATTATAACCATAGCCCAGGTATGTTAATTGACAAAGGTCCCTGTCGCTTCTGTTATACATAATGTATGTGTATGTATACATTGGTATATGCATATATGCGTTCACATATATGTCTATACATTCTAGACTGTGGTCCAGATTTTCACATAGCAATGATAAGTATAATTCAGTCAGTTATAGTGCAGACACCGTTTGATGGATTTCTTACCAATGCTGAGGGGACGAGGGACAGGTTGGGAAGGCAGAAGTAGAAGAGAATGGCCTGAGACAGTTCTTGGGTGTGTTTGGTGTCTGGGCAAAACGGTGGGGACACAGTAACTTTGTATACCAAGACCAGATGTTAAAATTGTTGTTAACATATTACCTTGACTACAAAAAATTTCATTCTAAGTTACACTATCAGCTTCACGTTTGACAGCTAAGAGGTTTAGTCAGTCAATTTAGTATTTTTTTCTATTAAGCATTAATGTTTCTTTGCTTCATTGAATTAACCAGTAATTCAACTTAATAGAATGAGTCATTGAGTTATATATAAAGTCTATAATGGAAAAGAATCCCTATATCTATAAATTTTTGTCAGTGTAGCTGTACTTTTTATTTCCATTTGTCCATTCTTGAGCTGCATTATCTAAATTTAAGGTTTCGAAGATGAATATGTTGCCTGTACTGCAGGATTTCTTCCTTAATTGATCTGGGATGTCTGCCAGTTCTCCTTCAGAATTCTGCAATTTCATCTTTATAAGATTGGCTAATATCCAGTGAACTGCCATAGCTAGAATTCTCCTTTTACCTTGTCATTTATTGAGCAAAAACCTGGTATTAGGTTCTTGAAATGTTCCTTTCCTTAAGTGAAACTTTTAATTCCATCTAGAAAATGTTTTCTTGTAGATATGTTTCCTATTATACTGTTACACATTTATTCTCTTTTCCAGTAGAAATACTAAATTAATTAATAAACAATGTCTAAAACTTGAGTAACCCCTTTCTATTAATAGGATTCTTTCTGTTTTACCTAATTTAGCACTGTCATATATAAAGTCCTTCATTCAGGAAATTATATTTAAGAGTTTGGGACTGAGGTCTTTTTTGTGTGTGTTCTATAATTTGAGTTATATCTTCAGATATAAATCCTTATAGTCTACTAAAGGAAATAAAAATATACTGTGGAAAAGGAATTAGTATTAAAGTGTTGTGCAAAATGAGTGATCTAGTTTATTTTTAAAGAGCTGACTTGTGGTGGAAATGAATCACTATTAGATACTGAGATGGATTCTTTTCTTAGATTTTTTTTTTCACTTAAGCCTCAAGGAATTTCTTTCCTGAGCAGACTGGGAAAGTCCCTCATGTAAGCTTTTTAAACATCTTCAAAAGGGAGGCTGTTTTGATAAAGCTAAATAACATTGTCTTGACTTTACATAATCCTATGAATGTTTTTCAGTGTTATTTACAGATTGACTCAGGGATCATCGGGTGATTCTAAAGCAGCATTTCTCAGTCAGTGCCTAGATGCCCCTCCCTGGGCTCCAGAATATTCTAAGGGGGTGGAAGTGAAAATTCACATATATGGGAACCACAGCATGAGACTTTGGGCAGGCCAGTAGGATGGGATGGGTGGGGTGGGGGGATTAGGAGAAAATACATTCCAAAGAGACCATGGGAAGAAAATGTCTAAGAAGCACTGCTCGAGAGTCTAGTGACGTCTTTGGAAGGTAATGATGTGCTTTCATGATTGCATTCCTGATATTTATGCTAGGCCTCTTTCAAAGTTCTAAAAAGCCATCTCCAATTGTCTCTCTCTGCCTGTTCTCTTTTAGAGTTGACTGGTGCATACGAAACACAGGAAGTTTGGGTGGGCAGGCCAGCATATGGACTTGAGCTAGAGCCAGCCCATGAGATGCAGGCTCAAGCACAGACCTCACAAAGAGAAAAACCAGAAGTATGTGGCCAGCAAGGGTGTGGGAGATGATCACCAAGTAGGTTGTTTCAAGATAATAAAAACATATAAAGGAAAACCCTCAGACTTAAGATTTTTTAAATGACTTAGTTCTGGTTCCTGAGGGCCACCTATCCATGT